TTTGGGGGCAAAAGCCCCGGCCCTGGGCCCGTGTTCCTTGCCACCTCTCTCCTGCACACAGGCCGCCATGATGGCAGAGGAGCTGAAGAAGGAGCAGGACACCAGCGCCCACCTGGAGCGCATGAAGAAGAACATGGAGCAGACCATTAAGGACCTGCAGCACCGGCTGGACGAGGCCGAGCAGATCGCCCTCAAGGGCGGCAAGAAGCAGCTGCAGAAGCTGGAAGCGCGAGTGCGGGAGCTGGAGGGGGAGCTGGAGGCCGAGCAGAAGCGCAACTCAGAGTCGGTGAAGGGCATGAGGAAGAGCGAGCGGCGCATCAAGGAGCTCACCTACCAGGTGCGGCGGGGGCCAGAGGCCAGGAGTACATGTGGAAGTGGCTTCTCTGGCCCCGCTGCCCCACCCACACAGGGCTCCTGTTACCTCCTCCTTGAGTTGCTGTTGGTAGATTTAACCTTCTTCTCACCCTGTGCAGTCAGTTTGACTTGAGCCTATGAGTTTTTCCAGCAAATGAAGAATCTACTTCTACTTCCTGAAAACTCCTCTAACTAGCCTTTCCCCAGGTTTGTTTGTTTTTTTTTTTTTTTTTTTTTTAAAATAACTCAAAGTGCTACCATGAAGACTTCAGAACAGTCCAAAGAATCTTTCCACCTTCGACTGTGGGGTTAAGAGTCAGGCGAGGGGAAAAGACACAGAAATCTTCCATGGAACTTCTGGCACACAAAGAGAAGGCCACAGAGAAAGAGGACCCCAGAATGTTTTAAGACCGCCATTTGCATAGCTCAGAGTTGTGCCCTTGGCCGGTTATTTTCAGCGTACCTGGGAAGAAAAGGCCAAGGAGACAAGGGTGTCAGTCCATTTGATAGATGGATACCAGAGGCACAAGAAAGAGGTTACAGATACAGAACCACAGAGTGATTTGTGAACAGAAGTAGAAATGGCATCCTGGCACATACAATGATGAAGAGAGAGGAATGATCGAGTGATGTTGGAGCCAGTGATCCCGATGCCTGAATTCTGGTCTAGTACAATATATTAGAATGTAGAATAATCTGGATTATGATAATACCCCCTTCTTTCTGCATTCCTCATTATTCCTCTTCTGGTCAAGAACTGCTGGCCAAGAGAACCTATGTAGGTCCAGGTTGGAGCTTTATCCACCAGATTGGAGCTGGAACAGATCTGGTGCTTTTATATTACCACATTAGGAAATTCCATAGGTTCTGAGCCCCTCCCCCCACTTCTACCTTTAAGACTTCAGCCTTCATTGCTTTGTGGATCCTTGACTGACAACCCTGCATTGCCCCTTTGACCTGCAATGGAGTCAGAGAATCTTCCCCACCACATCTTTGACCTGGACCATTGCAGGGAGGGCAGCAAAGGCAAAGGGAGAAGAGTAAAATGATGGAGGAGGGAAAGGTGATTGCATTTGCTCCCCCTCCAAACTGGCTTCTCCCACCCTCCCATCCCCAGACAGAGGAAGACAAAAAGAACCTGCTGCGGCTGCAGGACCTGGTGGACAAGCTGCAACTGAAGGTCAAGGCCTACAAGCGCCAGGCCGAGGAGGCGGTGAGTTCAGAGTTTTCTTCCCTTTCTCATCAACACACCTACTGTATGTGAGAACCAATGCATGTCTCCCCCAGAGGGGCCTGGTCAAAGAGTTTGCTGTAAGCTGTAACTCTCAAACATTTATTGTACACATCTGGTATGCTCAGAGCCGTCGGGTGTTCTGAATTAACGAAGGCACCACCTACAAGCTGCTTACAATTCAGACACCATAACCCAGCAGAAGGCTAGTGCAGGACATGGGGCAGCCAAAGCTGAAGGCAGGAAGGTGGCAGTGGAATTGGGCCTGGAAGGGGACCCAGCTAGGCACAGGGCAGTGGGGAAGACATCTGGGTGTATGTGGGTTGCTGTTGAGCATGCCTGCGCAGGGACAGGTGCAGCAAAACAGGATTCTGAAGGGTCCCAGATCAGGCAGCATGGGATTTGTCTTGGGCAGTGGATGGCCATGAAGGACTCTGAGTGCTGGACATGTTTGAGGACAGCACAAGGCAGGTGCAGGATACCCCCGGAAAGGCTGTTGCAGGAATATGCATGAGGCATGGGTGCCTCAGGGACAGGGAGCTGGAACCTCAGGTTGAGAGGCTGAGAATCCCACAGCCCATCTCCAGCTCATTCACCCATCCCCATTGTCCCACCACAGGAGGAGCAAGCCAACACCAACCTGTCCAAGTTCCGCAAGGTGCAGCACGAGCTGGATGAGGCAGAGGAGCGGGCAGACATCGCTGAGTCCCAGGTCAACAAACTTCGAGCCAAGAGCCGAGACATTGGCGCCAAGGTGGGTCCCTTCCCTGGGCTTCACTAGTCACTTCCACATTAGCATGCCCCCTGATTTGGGTGCCCCTCAGAGTGGGCACTGCTTGCCCCATATGTAGGCAGTTCTGGGGGTCCCACAGCTCACATAACCTGAGAATCCACTCTCCTGCTCAAAACAGCCCCCCACTGACTGGAACTCCTGCAGAGATCCCCAGTTCCATCCCCCTAAACCACAAGTGCCTCTAACTTGAGACCACAAGATCCCTGGGGCCCTGCCTCTCCCCACCAAGGACATCTCCCTTAGGCCTCTGAAAGCCCCAGGGATTTGTCCCCACACACTTCTCCCTCTTGCCAGCTCCCCACTCACACCTCTTATCCTTGTTGCAGCAAAAAATGCATGACGAGGAGTGACACTGCCTCAGGAACCTCACTCTTGCCAACCTATAATAAATATGAGTGCCAAACTCTGCCTGAGCCCATCTGTCCTCCCTGCCAGCTGTCCATCCTGGATCAAGGCAGTAGGGGGCCTGAGAGGAGGGAGGCCCCCAGCCCCTGTATCAGAGTCGCCAGAACCAAGGCGTCTCATATCCACAAGGAAAGAGACCGAGGTGCAGAGGAGTGAGGTGTTCTGCCTGAGGTGGACAACTGTAAGTCCCAGTTCTGCTCAGTCAACCACACAAGGGCGGAGAGGGAGAAATTTCAAAAGTGGAGAAAACAATGGCATCAAAATGGTGAGCCAGTCCTAGATGGTAGGAGATAGAATTTTGGTGCTGAAGTTGAAGCCACTCTCCATCTACCTCACCCCTGAGGCTGCAACGATTAAAGGTGTCCTAGGACCCCCTTTTTTTCTGAAATGAATTTTTCACCAATGCCAGAAAAAGCTCAGAGCTGGCTGAGAATTAAGGTATGGGAAAGGAGATGGGAGAGATTCCATCCTAGTCAGTCCCTAGGAAGTAACTCCCAGGGAGCCCCCTCCCTGTCTTCCCCAGGGGTCTCCCCCTGTCCCCTGTGATTCAGCACCTCACTGTGAGGGCATCTTGAGACTCTGGGGCCAATCAACACTGAGCCCAAACCAATATGCCATGAGGACCAAGCCTGGGCATGGCTCATTTCATGTTAGTTCTCACACAGACACAGACAGCACAGGTGCCTGTACAGGGAGACACTGCGGTCATATTTCTGCTCTCTCTAAGCTCCTATTGGGGACAGTCTTGCCTGGGTCACACAGCTGCTTGTGGGAGAGGACCGGTCCTGACACCATTCTGCACAAAGCAAATCCCCACTCCCCACTGGGCTTTGCAACCAGGCTCTGCTAACCACCTCCTTAACCCTTCACCTGGCACCCTATCTCCCTGACTCCCCAAATGGAGCCTTTTCTATCCCTCCTCTGAGACTATGAGAATGGACTGTGCATAAAGCCCTGAGAACTGTGAGCAGTGACCAGAGAAACACAAAATCCTGTTAGTTCTAGCCCAGGAGAGGCTGCCAGCCCTGATGGTCAGCCAGGACACAAGGATAGGAGAACAGGAAGCAGGAGGCAGGAAAAAGACCAAGAGAGAGGAGTGGTTGCCACCAAGGAAGCAGAGCACAGTGACCAGAGTTCAAGATCCAGGGCTCAGGCAGGACTTGGGAGCTGGGGCCTGCAGCTGGAAGGAGCACTCCAGAAGAAAGATTGTATCTCAGGGCAGGAACACACATGCATCAGGGAGAGGAGATAGCACGTCAGCTGGGATGGAACTGCTGAGCTAGGCCATGCTGGGCTCCTTGGGCTGGGCAGGAACGTCTGGCTGCATGTCCGTCTGTCTCAGCCCAGCAGGGCTGACTCCCGGGCTGCAGCAGTGTCTGCTCCAAACTCCCCCGAGCCTTCCCATAGCGTTCACCATGGGGATGCCTTGAGCAGCTTGTCTCTTTCCCAGCCTTTGAGTGCTCAAGGGCAGGCCCCCCTGTCACCTCTGAGGTTCTGGCACCCAGCACAGGGTCTGCGCATGGGAGATGCTCAGGAAATGTGTGCTGAGGAGCTGGCAAGCTGGGAAGGTGGACCCACAGTGGAGGGACGAGTTGGCCGTTCTTTTCTGAGCTACAAGGAGGCTCAGTACAGTGTCCAGAACACTCGCTTAGGTGTCAGAAGAGCTGTGTTCTGGCCCTCGCTCTGTCACAAATGAGTTCACCTCCCCTAGCTGGGCCTGTTTTATCTTATGTGAAATGAGGGCATTGCACCAGCTGATATGCACAGGCTCTCCCAGCATTCACATTCTGGAAAATCTCTCCCGTCTCTGATGCCTCAGGCTGCCCTCTCCCTGCGTCCTGTGGGCCAAGTCTTCCCCACACCACAAGGAGGAGCTCTGCACACACCCCAGGCGAGTGCCTCGCCTCCAGCCCACTAACCTATGGGAACAGGTGTGGTGGTGGGTGCACGCTCCCTTGAGGAAGGCTGTGCCTTCTCAGACACAGAACTCCAGATGCCCAGCCACCAGGCACACCACAAAGTGGCCATGCACACAGAGGTGTAGCGTAGAAGTTTTGTGTTGGAAGATGTCTTCAGCTTCTTCTGGCTAGCCCCTACATCCTCACTGCTCAGACACGGTCCCAGAGACAGACCACGACCTGCTCCCGCAACATTCCCATGAATACTCCTTGGCATTCCTGACCTGCCTAATTTCTGGGGAAGAAAGAGACTTGCCAGTAGAATTTGAATATTTTAATTTGGGAATGACTTAGGGGCCCAGATTCCTCCCCACCACCCTCCCTCCCCCCATAAGTTCCCCTCCTCTGGCCAGAGCTTCATCAGGAGCCAGATCCCGGAGCACCAGGCTCCACAGATAAGTCCCCAGTGACGTCTCAGGCTGGACATCTCCGTAAGGCTGGGGTGGGGTTTGGCGGGCTGGGGGTTAGTGAATCCCAAGGAGACGTGTCTGGGCTCTACTGTCCCCTCTGGCTGGCTAGGCCTAGAAGCCAGGTAGCCCCAGAGTCACTGCTGGTCCCCTGTGAGGATGGAGCCAGGTAGAGAACCACGTCAGGATGAGTAGCTAGGGTTGGGGAGGGCATCTCCTCTCCACAGAGCACGGGCACTCACCCTGGATGGCCCTGGGTGCCATCTCAGTCCGGTAGATCTTGAATGCATCATAGGCAAAGACGGAAACCAGGATGATGCCAAAAACCTGTGGGAGTGCAAGTGGGGATGGCAAAACAGGCTATCTGGCCATTGGGTTAAGGTATAAGGCGAGGTGCAAGCCAGAACCCCAAGCCCTGGCTGTGGCTTCTGACACAGAAAGTGTGCAAGCACCAGCCTGAGCTCTTGAAGGGCTGAGGAGTCCTGCAGGGCTGAACTCACAAAAGCAGCAATGGCAGCTCCATCCCGGGAGGTCACAGCTGCAAAGGAGACCACCAGGAAGATGATGATGGCACTGACACAGCGCAGGAAGTCCTGGGGGCCAGGGGTGCAGGGTTAACAGGACCTCAGAAGGCAGGGGGCGTTGCTCTGAGGTTTTCCAGGCTAGCCAGCAGCCCGACCCTGAGGAATTCTGAACCCCTCCATGGGGTACCCCTCACACAATATGAAGCACGTTCAAGAGACAGAGTGCTCACACTGCTACCCAGGGAGTGGAAGCAGATGAACCAGAGCAACCAGGACCAGAAGCCAGGTGCTAGGGCTGGAGCCCAGGTGACAGCAGCTGGAGTCCACCAGCCAGGGGGGTCAGGCCAGGCCAGGGCTAGGGCTGGACCTTTGCTGAGTGGGAGAGCAGATCTAGCGGATGTGGTCCTCCTGATTGCCCATGGCCCTGCAGCTGTGAAATCAGTGTGAGTCAAAGCACACCTTTGAGCGCAGGGCATAGCACAGGGCAAAACCCGGCTGAAATATGGAAATGGAAAGAAGCTCGGGGAGGAAAGGAAAACACACCATTTAGAGGAGAAGGAAGGGCCCCAAACTGGGCTGGGGGTCAAGGTTCCTCACCAGACAGGGCCAGTTAAGCCGGTTGAAGTGCTGGTAGTACTGGGTGGCATAGAGGAAGAGGAAGGCAAGTGTGATGAAGAACTCCAGCAGCGCCGCGGCCATGTAGGCAGAGATGGAGGCCGTGAAGCAGATGAAGATGATGAGGGTCAGGGCCTGCAGTACCGAGCATGTGGAACATGCCAGGAAGGGGACACAGGCAGGGGCCAGGGCTTTGCCTTCCCCTCCTTGGAAGCTCCCCTAGGCTGGCACCTACCACCTGTCCTTGGAGGGAAGGAAGGACTCTGGCACATCTCCCTATTCCCTGGTGTTAGGAACCACCGTTGCAGGGCATTTGCCCATCAAGGGCAGTCTCCGGCCTCCCACTCTGTTCACCCAGCAACCCCAGCAGTCTGGCCAAGTCATACGGCTCCCAGGAGCACTATCCCACAGTAATTCACGGGTACAGTGTGAATGCCAGCCCCTGGAGTTGTGCCCACAGAGACCCGACTCCACGGGGACCAAGAGGCGCCCCCTGCCCCATAATGCTTTCCCCACCCCTAGATGCCTTTGATTCCATGCCAAGAGAGAAGGCAGACGCTGCACAGTAGACTCTGGGGACCCCTTTAGCTCTGATGACCTAGGGTGGCATACATGCAGAGGCCTTAAGTCTACACTGTGGTCTTGCTAAGAAGGGGGAAGATCCTTTCCTGAGAAGAGTTGTTTCTGGGCAGCAGACCACCGATAAAGTGCAGCTGCAGGAAGTCTGCCCTTTTTGATAGTTAGACTTCTCGGACATGCTGAGAAGTGGCCATGTTAGAGGCTGTCATTGCCCCTGTCCCATCCCTATGTCTCACGCTCCCTCAATGTCCCAAAAAGTCATCCTGTCTAACTGCAGTCCTTCCTGCTGCAACTGAAACCTGCTGTAAATGCCTCCAGGTGCAGAGACAGCAAGAAGGCAGAGTAGGAGACGAAGAAGGGGCAGCTGGGGGCAGGAGAGGTGTCCAGAGGGCCTGGGGAGGGAGGCTACTGAAGGGCAAGCTGGGGACTGGCATAAGGCTGGCCAGGAACCGGGGGGCAGGGAAATGGAGGCACCAGGTTGGGGAGGCAGCTGTTACCAGCTCGGTTTCCAGCAGGATGCCTTTGTGGGAGGTGAAGAAGGCCTTGTCCACCGCGAAGCCCTGGAGCTCTGCAACTACCCCCTCCTCAGGGGGCCGGTCCCGGCGATCCCGAACACTGAGCATCTTCATGGGGCCCACCAACACAGCCCCTACTGCCAAAAGCCCAGCAAGAGAGACAGAAATCTGGCAGGATGGGGAAACAGACAGGAGCAAGAAGGCACTTCGAGCAACCTGAAAGTGAAGCAGGAGCCTTGCCCACAGGGCCCCGCGAGAGAAGGCAGCCGCTGGGGGCCTTGCCAAGATGGGCCTTCACCCAGCTGCCCAGAGCGCCTCTGCTGCTGCCCGCACCAGCCCCCTAGAGACCCATGGGGAGGGGCAGAGAGGGAGGAGGCTCTAATCCCTCCCCTTGCTTAGAGCCCAACCCAGCCTGGAATAGAGAAGGGAGGGAAGAGGAGGAGGTCCGAAAAGAAACTGGGAGGAGCTGGGATGTGAGTAGAGGAACAGGGGCAGGACTGGGAGCCCCCAGAGACCTAAGCCTGAAGACATTTGTGTCCCCCTTCCCCAACTTTAACCCTCTTCTTTGGCTGGTCCTTTCTCCCATTTCCTTTTAGGGAGGGTGTGAGCTGGAGCCCAGCCCAGGCAGCACCCCCAGGACCAAGCTGCAGCAGCCAGGACTGGAGGACAAAGGCGGATTGTTGGGGGACAAGGGGGCGCTGTGTGCCTGCTGCAATGCCTCAAAGGACCTCTGTCTCTCCAGCATGCTGGGAGCGCAGCCTGGCCCCCACCCTGGTGTTCGGGATGGGCCAGGGAGACAGAGATGGGAGAGGACGGGAGGGTGCAGCAGAAACTCTGGAGGGCAGAGAGAGCTGGCAGGGTGGACAGAGGTGAGGGCCGATGGCGGAAAGAAGGGACAGGCTGGGAGACCGCGAGGTGTTCAGGCACCACAGATGCCAAAAACAGATTAGGCCATTTTAAAATAAAGATATTTATTTGAATAAATCTCTATACATTCAATAACAGCTTCCTCCTCAGAATCATCCATGTCAAAAGACCAGTAACTACACCAGAATGCACCCAAAGTAGATGCTTACTGAGTGATGAGTAAACAAGCAAGCAAATAAAATGAGGGGCTCTTTCTTCTCCAGCAAGGGGAAAATATCTAGAAAGTGCCTGTGCTGGGCCAGGGTAGCAGGGGATGGGAAGAGAGGAAGAGACAGGAGTGGCGGCCTCCAGAAATGGGCAGAACTTTGAAAACCTTTCCTGAGAGAAAATGACAGGACACCAGCTTCCAGTGGGCCTAAGCAGCAGTTGCTCTTTTCAAAATGTGCAGAAGTGCAGGTTTCCCCCGAAGCCCCCCATCCTGTCCTGGGATCTTGCTGCTGCAGACGGTACTTCACAGGGGCCAAGCATCTGGGCATCCTGGCCTTTCGTGGCAAGTGGTTGTACACCTGGCTCCAGGTTTCCCAAAAAGGGACCAGCCTCCAGCAGGTCCGGCTAGCCCATCACACGGGGCCGCACACACACACAAGCCAAGGAAACACGGTACAGCCTGCTCTCCAGGCAGTAGCCCTTGTGGGTGCCCTTCTCGCCATGGCACGGCCGCCGGTAGAAGACAGTCTGGTTGTGGTAGAGCAGCTCCGAGTTGCCCCGGGGGTCCATGTGGGAGCCTGTCTGTAGGCTGACGCAGTGTGGGCACAGGCAACGGGCGTGGTACAGGTCCTGGGGGAGCCGGTTCAAGTCTCTGTCCAACCTGTGGGGGCGGCACTTGTGAGGCCCTGGAAAGATGGGCCAGAAACAGAGAGGGTAGGGTGGCGTGGGAGTGCCAGAGGAAGGAAATGGTCCCTCTGGGGCCTTGGCCTCTTGTCTCAGTTCTGCACCCACTTGCTGTGTAACTTTGAACAAGTCACCTCCCTCCTCTATTAATTTTTCCCCACTGTAAATGACGGTAGCAGGTGACAGAGTACTTTCCAACTGGTCCTGGGACTCTGAGGGAGGCAGCGGAGGGTGAGCAGGCTCCTGCCTTAGCCTCCATTGACTAGCACTGCTTCTATCTGGCTCAGCATGAGGTTTCTTACTGTAATGATTACACTTTAGATTTTTGTTTGTTTGTTTGTTTTTGACAGAGTACCCAGGCTGGAGTGCAGTGGCACGATCTTGGCTCAACTGCAACCTCCACATCCTGGGTTCAAGCGATTCTCCTGCTGCCCGCCACCATACCCAGCTAATTTTCATATTTTTAGTAGGGATGGGGTTTCACGATGTTGGCCATGGTTGGCCAGGCTGGTCTTGAACTCCTGACCTTAGGTAATCTACCCACCTGGACCTCCCAAAGTGCTGTGATTACAGGCATGAGCCACCAGGCTGGACTTTAGGCGGTGTTTCTATTATTATTATTACAGCATTATTGCAAAAGTAAAAACCACTCTGACATCCAAGTGTAAAAGAGTATAAAGAGTGAAAGCTAATAGTCTCTGCCTACCAGTCCCACTCCCGAGAAGCTATCCTCAACTATTTCCTGCACATTCTTCCAGACACTGTACAAGCTTATATTATAAGCATACTTGAGAGTGCATGGAAAGACTTCTTTACTTATTCTGAAAGGATTTCATGGCAAAAAAAAATAAAAAAAGAAAGATGAAAAACACTGAAAAGTAGATGTCCCACAGGTCTGCGACTCCATTAGTCTGGCAGGTGACAGTCCCCAGCTTGTAGGACTATTCCCCACACAGACAAGCCCTGGCAAATGGGTTTAGCTAGCACACCACTTCCCAAAGTGGGTTCCCTAATAAATCACCTGCACCTGTTAGGTGCTTAAATGAATTTGGGAAACACTTGTTTAATGGTTTACTTTCTACAGACTTCTTGCAGACTTTAATGTACAGATGACAGTATGAATCTCCAAGGGGTAAGAGATAGAGCAGTCTTTCCTAAGTTTACCTGGCATAACTTTTTTCTGAGAAGCAGCTCATGGGACGAGCGTTGCACAGAACACACTTTGGGGAAAGCCACCTGAGTGGTTCACAGACTCCCAGCAAGGGGTCTGGAAGACAGCTGAGTTAACCTCTGGCACCCAGCCTCCCCTAAGAGGCTCCCGTGCCATCTGATTTGGCCCAGGACCCAGCCGGCTTCTGAGACCGCTCCAAAGCATCATGACCTGTAGTATCCACACTAGATCCAATCTCAGTTAAATCTGACCCCCTCCCCACCACTGAACTTCTCCATCCACCCCAAAGCCAATGCCAAGAACTAAAAGGAAGAAGTGAAATCACACATCTGGAATCCCTAAGACCCTAGTTTTTAATATTTTGCTTCATTTTTCTTATTTCAGCCCTTCCTAATAGTTTTCATATCATGGCACAAATAGAGAATTATAATATTTATGTGGTACACTGAGTGGAAGAATACAGTAACCATGATAATGATCAAAGATATCCAGTCCACACCTCCAGCCAGCCAGCTGCCCCTAAAAGTTGAGGGTTTCACTCCCTTAGTATGCTTATAATTAACCCATTCATGGCCCGGGCAGTATCATTTGGTATTGGGATGCTTCATGCCTGTATCATGCTATTATTCCCTAATATTTTACCCAGAAAAACATGGGCCATTATAGAGATTTTTTTAAAAGAAAAGGAGAGAACCAACATAAATACAGACTTTTACATAGATTATATTTCATTTGATTTGCACATTAGCCTATGGGGCATTATATCATTTTACAGGTGAAAAAAAATCCTGAGTTTTGAAAACTTGAATTGACTCAGGATCATCCAATGAGAGTCAGAACTAGGACTCGAATACAGATCTTGTCCAATTCCCAAACCTTTACAGCCCCTCCAAGATCAAAATGGGAAAGTAAGCTGGAACTGCCCTGGTCCCTCACACGTACCCTGACCAGCACACACAGGGGAGCACGTGCAGGCATTCGGGAGGGGCAGCAGACTCACTCATATCTCCAGGGGGAGATGGCCCTGCTGTTGAGGGGCCCATCTTCACTGGCCCTACAGGATACTGGGTGGTGGTTGAGGGTAGCCGGCTTTAGGGGAGGCACAGGCACAGTGCTCCACCTCAGCAACTCCTTAGACACGTCCTGCCCTTTGCTGGGGCAGCAGCTGGGCCAGTGGCTGTAGGTGTGGGTTCCCATGACCATTGCCAAGAATGCAACCACCTGTAGGAAAAGGCTAATGAGAGAACTGTTCTCACCTAATCTGGGTTGCCCCCTCATCTGCACCCTCCCCCTCGGATCCCAGTTTCTCACTCCACCTGGCCCCCTGCCCCAAACCTGGCAGCTTGGCCTCCCTCCACCCTCAGCAGCATCTCTGCTCCTCTCCCTCTAGCATAGCCCTCAAGCAGCCCTCTGCTAGCATAGCCCTCAAGCAGCCCTCTGCACTGACCTGGTACATGCTGGGCACTGCACACTCAGTCAGGTGGAGCACTGGCTGACAGGCCTCGTGGAAGCAGGCTGACTGGAGCAGGTTAGGAGTCCTGATTTTATTTTCAGCAAGTCTGTTTTGTTTATTCAAATTTATTTCCACTATCTTTTTAGGGAGTGACGAGATTAAAAAACAAAACAAAACAAAAATACTCTGAAAGTATTTCCAAAGGCTGCTTAAAATGCAATACTCATGGAAGTTGTGATGACCATCATTATATGCCTGGTAGCTGATTGGGTAAACTTTGCTCTTTGAACTTTTCTAGCCGTGGGGTCAAAGCAATAGCGGTCTGCTGTTCTGTGTTCTTGTGAACTGGCATTAGCAGAATTTCCCTGGTTGGTTTGGCAGCCAAAATTAGGAAATGTCTTGTGGCCTCCCTTCAAGAGGCCTCATTTCCATGATCCATTCTGCTCCCATCCAGGGTCTGGTTTCACCATTCCCCTCTTCTCAGGTGTCCTCCTGATCATCCACCTTCGTGATTATTTCCTTTCCCTTAGATAACCTTTGACTCCTATCCCCTTTGTTCTATGACCTCTTCCACATTTTTGATGATCCCAAAATTCTATGACCCCTATCATCTGTGACTTCTCCCCCATTGTCCATGACCTGCTCCCTAACTCCCCCTTGCCCTCGCCAGTCACTGCCCCCCGCCCGGGGATACAAGCCTACCCTCACAGGGCTGCCAGAAGGCCCTGACTTCCTGAGTTTGTTGGCTGGATGGGCAGGGTCTGATGGAAGAAGCTGTGGGTGAGTGTTCCCATTGCACAAATGAGAAGGTGAAGCAAGGAAGAGGAGGGAAACTGAAACAGCCTCACCTAAGACCCAATAGGAAGGAGGTCTCAGTTCCAGGGACCAACCTGCTCTCATTCACAGAGCCGTGGGGACCAAGCCTATGACAGGGCCAGCTACTGCTTTCAGGCCACGAAGTGAGCCCACTCAGCCTCAGCAGGCCCAGAAACATGGGCCACTGTCAGCCAGGAGGGAGTATGTGTGCCCCAGAAGGGCTTAGAGTTGAACTTGACCCCAAAGACACAGGTCAGCCGGCTCCAGGCTGCTTGAGAGACACTGTGCTGAGAGTGGGCCAGCCCGTCCTTCCCCCCAAGGTCCTTCTCTTAATGCTTGCCTATTGGCCTGCCTCATCCCCCACACCCACCCAACATACCCATACGCAGACATTGCCCCTAGAATGATGCGGCTTGATTTGCATGTGCTTTCCCTTAGAAAATACTCCTCTAGTAACCAAGGACTCAGGAAATAAACAAAAGGAACCAGGAATAACTTAAATTGCAAAGTGAGGAGGAATCTTTCCAATGCATTAGAGCAAAGCAGCCCCAAAAGAGAGAAGTGATGAGGTCAGAGGGCGATCTGGAAAATTGGGAGAACCTGCTCTGCTCTGGTGAGTCTTGGGGCACCTGGAACTGTGGGAAGGGGGGCACTTAGAAGAAGCAGGTGGTGGCTGGGAGAGCTGGGGCACTCAGGAAGAGTCATGAGGCCAGTATCATGGCCCTACTCTCACTGCCTCACCCTCTGCCCCCAGTACTTGCAGACGTCCTCTCCCTTCCATATCCTGCTGGCCTCAGCTCCTGTGCACTTACATGTGCCGGGCATGGTGCTAAGCCCTGGGCATGCATCATCTCATTTTATCCTTACAATGAAACCATGACATGGAAACTATTATCCCCATATTACAGATGAGGAAACTGAGGCCCAAGGAAATTTAGAAACTTACCCAAGATCACAAAGAAAGAGGCTGAGCTGGTTTCCCATTCCAGCTCTGACCAATTATTCCACATCTAACCTGGCATGGAAGTGCCACACCGTGCCTACCCCCATTTGGCTGTTAATGGAAGGGGTGCCCCACAGTGAATGCTTTCCTACTCACCTGGGCTTGGGTTGGGACAAGTTTCAACAACACCTGCTGAGGGCCACAGGGTGTGTCTGCCTGCTTAGGCATCCAGCCCTGCTGTTGGGATTCACTGTACTAGCTCCCTTTCCTAGCCTTTGGTCTGGCAGACATGGCCTCAAGGTGACTTCTGGTGCTCCTGGGAAAACCTCAATCCCAAAACAGACTCTTACGAGGCAGTACTGTTTCAGGAGAGCTGGATTCGTATGGATCTCACTCTCACCAATCAGAACCTCAGGGCTAAGAAGGTAATAGAATTGGAGTTGGCTCAGATCTCCTATCTTGACCCCTGCCCAGGAGGGGATGTTCAAAGGAGCCAGAAGTGATCCCAGCTCCCTGTTTCACTTGCTGACACTACAGGAAGGACCCAGCCTAGGTCACCAGGAACGTCGCCCTTCAGAAGAGTCCTTTGGGGTGTCCCTTTAGGACAGAGGGATAACCCCTCCAGGAAGGGTTGGCTTTTCCCATCCCCATGATGACCAGAACTTACCTGAGAACCTGTGCTCTGAGCCACATGCCCCCACCCCACCCCACTTGCTCACCCTCTGTCCTTATCTCAGTAGCAGCTTTGTGGGACTCCTTAGGGTGACTCCCTGTCATGAGAAACATTTTCCAGTGGGGTTTCCTCCTGAGGTGACTAGTTTTGGAATCCCTGAGTCACTTCAGGTTCCAGGGAACCCTTGGGGGTGTGAGGATAGGCGGGTGACAATAGGGAGAAGGCTGGAGGCAGGGAACAAAGGAAGGTCTGCATGTCACATGACATCAAGGTTCCCTCCCAGCACGTCTTCACCTGCCTAGGCCTGACCTGGCAGCTGAAGAGACCTTCCTGGGATTCCCGTCCCTGTGGCCCTGAGGAAAGAGAGAAGCACCTGCCAGGAAAGGGCAGGGAAGATGTGGTGGAATACACTTCCCAATCTTGGCTTGGAAAGGCTCTTGGGGCTTGCAGAACGTGAGAATATGTCTTCCCTGCCCCTTCTCAGGAAGATATGCAAGTTTCCACCTGCTGCCTTGAAGTCTTGGCCCTGCCAATGACCAGCTCTGGACCTTGGGCCCTCTCTCTCTGCTCCTCCCTCTTCAATTGTAGAAGTGGATGGGTTTGGGTGGGCGGGGATTGGGGGGAACATTAACCTGGATGGCCACAAAGGTGCCAATCAGCTTAACTGCTCCAGATCTCAGCTCCTGAAATAGTGCTGAATCCATAGGCCTCATCAGGGCCTATCGAAGCTCATCAGCACTCACTGTACGTGAAGCTAGGGCACTGAACGTCAAAATGTTGAAATACTTCTGCACCTGCTGGTAAGTAGAAGCTTCCCTCAGCCTTGGGACATCACCTTACCATACCTCCCTATGATCCAGCAACTAAAGGTTGAACACCTGGCACAGATGGAGGCCCCCAGAACAGTGCTCCCACTTTCTGATTGGTAATGGTTTAGCTACAAAAATGCCTAGGCTCAGGAGCAGCCTTCAAGGAGAACTCAGTCTAGACCCTGGGAGACACATGGAGAATCAGAGTTAGCAGAACAAGGAACCCAACAAACCCATGTCTTTAGCCCAGGGCTGGAGCCTTCCCCAGGAGGCCCCTCAGCTTACTCAGCTTTGTCCTATGGTCATGGCTGCCTTCGTTCACTCATCCACTCACCTAATATTTATTGTGCACCTACTGTGTTCCAAGCACTATTCTAACTGCTAGAAATGCAGAGGCGGACAGGCCAGACAAGGTCCCTGCCTCATGAAGCTTACGTTTTAGGAGAAGAGAGATGACAAACAAGGAAACAAGATAATAATAAGTGCTGTGAAGAAAATGAAACAGCATTATGAGATAGGTAGTTACTGGGGGTGGGAGAGAGGAAGGCGGGGCAACTTTAAGTTGGAAAGCCAGGAAAGGCCTTTCTGAGGATGCAGGATTTGACCTGATGACGGAAAGGGTCTGGGGGAAGTGGTTTAGGCAGAGAGGGCAGGACATGCAGAGTCCTAGAGGTGGAAAACAGCATGGCATATTTGAGAAACAGAAAGGACAGTGTCGATGATGAACAAGAGATAAGGAGGAGAGATGAGATGAGGTGAAAGAGGTAGGCAGGGAGCAGATCACATAGGGTCCTCCAGGCTACCATGGAGCATTTGGATTTTATTCCAGGGTCAGCGGGAAGGTATTGACTGGATTCAAGCATGAGCTACATGATATATTTCTTGAGGACAGGCACCATGTCCTTGACATGCTAGTGCCACCACAGGGCCATCACCAAATAACAATAATAGTAGTTGCCTTTGTCCAAAATTTGCACCTCATGAGCCAGATCCTGTTCTTGGGATTCTCTTAATCCTCATAACAAGTAAATGCTAAAAGTTTGATCAACACTCCCACTTTACAGACAAGGAACCAGAGGCTCCAGGAAGTCACAGAACTTGCCAAGGTAACGAGCCAGTGTTGGAACCAGAATTAGAACCCAGGCAATCTGGGTGCTATGGGTCCAAAGAGAGGAGGACTGAAGAACTGGTGAGCACCCAAGAAGTTTTGGGTAGCAGGGGAAACAAGGAGAGGTCCAGGAAGTCTTGGGGTCAGTTGAGGAAAAAACCAGCTCATTGGACCTGCAGGGAAGGGGAAAGAATGGGAGAAAAGACTAGGACCCAGGAAGCCAGATGGAGGGGTTCCTTCCTTTCTTCTCCCTGAATATGGCAAGGGCAAACCTTGAAGACCCGCTGCTTGAGGCTGCCACCCACCCAGGGTCTCAGCTACCTGCCAAGTCTGGGTTTTCTCCCACCTCACCTGCCCTCAACAACGAACACGTTCAGCTTTCAGGAAAGCACAAGTCAGAGGGAAAGCCAAGGTAAAGAGGAAAAGCCACGGAAGAAAAGCACTGTGCCTGGCAATCTACATAAGCATACTCCTCACCAAAGTCACTGCCACAGAGGAGGAACTGAGACTCAGATGCCCTATAACTGGACCAAGGTCACACAGCTAGTTAAGTAGGATTAACTAGCTGTGTGACTGACTGGCTACATTCCACACCTGGGTATTCCAGAAGCAGTCTTATTTCCCACTGGTCTGCCCTCTGCTGTCCCTCTTCTACCCTTCCCCGGGCAGGGAAGCTGCCTGCCCATCTCCCAAGCCACCACCTTGCCTGGTCCTAGCAGCTTCCTTCCTGCTTAGCCTTTTCTGGCCTCCATCTATTTCCCCTCATGCCAGTCAAGGCATTCATCTTTGAAGACAGGGTTTCCTGACCACCTCCACCTTGGACTCCAATTTGCCTTGGCAGTCCCCTGGGCAGAGATCACACCAAGTCACTCCCCAGTAGCTGGATATCTATGTGCCTGACAGCCAGGTGCCCCAGGGCTGGGGTCTGGAAGAGGTTGGAAAATCTTCCCTAGTGGCCACCTCCAACCTAACTGGAGCTGGGAAGCAGGAGATCTCCCTGGAAATTTAAAAGTTCCTCTGCCATCCTAGTGGAGTCGGAATCTATTCAGGAGTCTTCCATCACAGAGAGCCAGCCTAGAGCCAACACAGTTCATCCCCATCCCCAGGTTTATCCCAGAATCTCTCCCTATTCCACCCCATAGGCTCCACCACACCCTTCACGCAGAGGTTTCTTCACAGGTGCCCAGGCAATTGAGTGGGGAAGGAGCTAGGGCAGGTGTCTTGACCACACTGTCCTAGGAAATGCCTAGATGTGTGGGCCTGTGGAATATTGAAGCGGGGTTATCTGTTCAGGTCCTCAAGTTCACCAAAGGCCTTATATTACATTTCTGATCTTATCTCCAAATAAGGTTATGCACATACATACAATAAGGTTACATATGTGTTTGAAGGGTTAATTTGTTCAATGTAAACATCCAAAATATACCACAGCTTTCAATCCTGTTTATCATCTTGCTTTTTAAATATCAGGAACCTCAAAAATGCAAGAAGGTAGGTGTCACTCAAGCTCGACAGGCCCTGATGTGTGTGTCCCAAAGGAAAGGTCCAGGGAAGCAGCACACACTAAGGAGTTATCCCAGGGCAGAGGAGCTGTGGGGGGTTAGGAGCACCGTCCTTTCAGTGGAAACTCCTGGCGGGTCTAGATCCCAGCTTCTCTGAAAGAGTTCTAGCAACTTTTGTGCCAGCGGTCCCCAGTCTTCTCCTCATAGCAGCAAGAGCGAGCCAGGCTGAAGAGGCCGACAGGCCCAGACTGGCAGAGGAGTGTAAGAGGCCGCACAACCTGCCCGCCTGCAGCTCTGGGGCCAGACGCCCTGCTTCATGTTCTGTCACCAGGGCCAGACTCCCGCCCTGTGCCCCGCAAGAACGGCCCAGCGAACCCCGCTGCCCTGCAGGGGAGGCACCGAGGATCGGAGAGGCTCTGCTAAGGGCCCCGCTGGGCTGGAGGCGCGCGCTCCCTCCCTGGGGAAAGACAGATGTGGGGCTAATGAAAGGGAGGCCGGGAGGCGCGGGGCCAGCGGGGGAGACGGGGGCGTGGCGGGGAGAGGAAAGCTCCCGGAGAAAGCCGACCGGACTGCCGCGAGCGAGGCCTGCAGCGAATCCAGAGGAGGAAGGCGCCGGGGACTGGGGCAGGGCCAGGGCGGGGACGGGTGGGGGAGGGCACCACAGGCCGCTGGACCCGAGGGTCCTGAGCTGAAACTCAACACCCGCCTTTGGAAGGATCGTCCCCCTTTCTCCTCCGCCCCTTCCCTTCCCCTCCCCTTTCCCCTCCCTCCTTTCTCTTAATCCCCAGGACTGAGCCCCGCGCCGGAGAGGAGAGGGCCTGAGGGGAGGAGAAAGGAACAGCACTGAGAGGGGCCAGGAGCCCAGGAAGGGGAGGGAAGGGCAGCCGCGGGCCAGGGGTGAGCCTGGGGGCCACGCGCGACCCCCGGAGCCTTCGCAGCCCTCTCAGTGTCCCCACCCCCAGCCCAGGCGAGTCCGCAGGACCCGGGACCCTGCTCCTCCTTTGCCTTCTCTTTGCTCCTTCTTTTGCTTTGTGGCCTTTCTTTCCCTTCCCAGAGACACCTGGGAGCTGCCCCCAAGCTGTGGGGCGCGCCGCGGGGTCCTGCCAAGGGTGCCTGTGAGCGGGGGCGGCGGGGCCGGCGCCGGGTGCCAGGGGCCGAGGGTGGGAGCAGGAGCTTGTGGCCCTGCGCCCTGGAGCCGAGGACTGGAAGGGGGCTGGGCCCGTCCGCCGCCTGGGCGCGGGCAGCGCGTTGGGAAGGCCGTCCCGCCTGCTCCAGGGGTGCCCGTGTGCTGGGTGCTGCTGCTCGGGGTGAGGCGCCGTGGCGGCGACCTGAGACCCCCGGGCGCGCTGAGTGAGTGCGCGCGTGAAAACCGCCGCGCGCCGCGGGTGCGAGTGTTTGGGCAGAAGCGGCCCCTGCAGCGACCCAGCCCCACAGCCACGCTCTCGGGGGTCTTTGGCTCCGGGCAACTTGGGACAAACGTCTCAGTTCTCGCTCTCCCTCGCTCCCAGCGGGGTCGCCGCACACCCAAGCCCTGGGAGCACCGCTCTGCAGCACAGCCGGCGGGTGGAGAGGGTTGGCCCCTGAACTCGCTCGTCCAGCCCAACCGCCCCAGCGGCTTCTCCCAGCCCTCGAGGCTCTCGTGAGCGGCCTGGAGAGGCGTCGAGCGCAGCGCAGCGCCCGCCTGCTCACCTGCCCCGGCCCCCGAAGGGAACGTTCGGCTCCTGCGAGCCCGGGGCGCCCCCGCGGCCTAGGGCGGGCAGCTCCCGGGGACTGGACGAGGTGGTGGCGCCCGGGAGGCCGCGGGGACAGCACGCAGCGCGCGCCCTTGGATGCCGTCCCGCAGCGACGCCCCGGCCCGCCCCGCTCCTCCTCCTGCCTGGCTAGCCTGCCTCTCATTTGGGAAGTTTTGTGGGTTTTCTTTCTCCTCCTCCAACCTTGGCGGAGGCCACGACTCAGGCGCCACAGCTGGGGGCTAGAGGCCGCGGATCATGGTGCGGGGCAGCCAGCGCTGAAGTCAGCAAAACCGAGCCTGGCCTGAGGCAGGCTGCGCGGGAGGCCAAAGCCATGGCCATTGCCACGTCGGTGAGTCCACCAGGGAGAGGAGGCTGCCGGGGAGAGACCTCCACGGCCTGCCCTGCGCTCCTGTCACTTTATTTCTGCCCTGTCTTTGTCTCTCTCCTTGGTCCCTTTCTTCTCCAGGAGGCCGTGTCCCCCTCCTCTCACTTTTGTTTCCCTTCTCCCTCTCACTCCTCATCCCCTGCTCCTCCTGGCTCCGGGCTCTCGCCTCTTCCCCGCCCCCTCCCGTTCTCCTTTTTCTTACTAGAGGCTGCGCCTGAATGGAGGGGAGGGGGCAAGCGTAGCCCGAGTCCTCTCTGCTTCTTTTGGGCGGGAACAGATGGCTACTGGTGGTTGGCAGGGGCTCGTGATTGGGAGGCAAGTAAAAGGTTTGGAGGGGGCTGAAAGGACCTAGTGGCTCACGGAAAACGAAAAACGAGAGGCTGAAGGGCCCAAGGAGGCCCATCTCGAGACGAGGGATAGGGAAAAGAGGGAGATAGACCAAAGGAGGGCGGTCAGGAAGGAGAAAGAGAAGACAGAGGGAGGAGGGGAGGTGATGTCAGCCAGCCTCAGGCCACTTTCCAGGGATCAGGACAAAGGGAGGAGACAGCTGGCATGATGGGACAGTGGGAGGAGGCCTCCCAGAGAGCACACAGGCCCTCTGCCACCCACATTAGGCTGGCCATTCCCTCACCAGTCAGCTGGACCGCTGGGGGATAGAGCAGGAGTGGCCACACCCATCATCAATCAGCCCATCAACAACTCTGTCCTGCGGTGGCAGGGCCCAGAGGCTTGGCCCCATTGGACAGACTGAACTCAAACTTAACACCAAGGAGGAGCGCTCTACAGCCCCACCTCGGTTTTCTGTTCTACAGTCTATGCAGTCTGTATAGAACAGAAAATCCAGGCAGCTCTGTACCCCTTCCACCCTCTTCTAGGTCCTGCCTAAACTTCCCAGGGAAGTGAGGGCGTCACTTGCTTTCTGGTCCCTTCTCAGTGGGGACTCTTGGAGAGATAATTGTGAGACCGGAAAGAGAAGCACCGAGCCACCCAATGTCCTCCCATACCCTTTGAGGACAGGTTCAAGTTTGGTTCTTTCTCAGACCAAACTCCTTTTTTTTTTTTTTTTTCTGAGACAAGGTCTCACACTGTCACCAGGCTGGAGTGCAGTGGCACAATCATGGCTCACTGCAACCTCCACCTCCTGGGCTCAGGTGATCCACCTACCTCAGCCTCCTGAGTTGCTGGGACTACAAGCACGCACCACCACATCGGCTAATTTTTTGTATTTTTTGTAGAGGCGGGGTTTTGCCATGTTGCCCAGGCTGGTCTCAAACTCCTGGGCTCAAGCAATCCATCTGCCTCAGCCTCCCAAAGTGCTGAGATTACAGGCATGAGTGACCGCACGTGGCCCCAAACTCCTTTTAGTTCCTCAATCTGTAACGATAGCCAGGAAACCCTAGCTCAGAGTGGAGATAGAGTACCTCTGGGAGTACTCTGGCATAGAGGTGCTGGTTCAGGAGCCAGCTAGTCAGCTTTGTAGTCCCAAGAAGGTAGATTTTTCTTTTTATGGTCAGGGGCATTTATGCTAATCAAACTCACAGGATTCTAGTAACAGCTATTACTTATTGAGCATTTCCTGCACCTGGCCCTGTGCCACGCTTTGTCATAGTTTCTTTATGCATTATCTCATGCAACTCTCACAACCACCTTGTGCAGGTAGTACCGTTATTATCTGAAAATGGATACGTGCATACGGAATTCTACAAAGCAGAAAACTGAGACTCAGAAAGATTAAACAATCTGCCCAAAGGCACCTGGCTAGAAAGGGACAGACCGCCAAACAGTGGGTCGCAACGGTAATCCCAGCTGTTTAGGATACTGAACCCAGGCATTCGAGGTTACAGTGAGTTATGATTGTGCCACTTTACTCCAGCCTGGACCACAGAGCAAGAGCTGGTCTCTAAATAATTAAATATTTGAAATAAAATTTTTAAAAGAAAGAGACACAGCCAAGACTCAACCCCAGGTCTGCCTTTAGAACTGTGCTTTTAATCCCCTGGCTAGATCCAAAAGACTGATTTATAATTTACAAATAAAAAGAAAAGTTCAGCACTAACCGGGAATTTGTGTCATCTGGTTAGCATGTTTCTTTGTGTGGGACAATATCCTTTAGAAACCAAAATATAATCAGAAAATGGTTTGACGGGTTGGGAATCAGACAAGAAGAGGAGTCAATTTGTTGTTAAAACCACCCAGCCATGAGGGGCCGGACAACCTCACCACCAGAGGGAAACATCAACCAAGAGGAATATGCACTCCTGCTGGCTCTAGCAGGGCACCCTTCTCCCCAGGGTCTGGTGGCAGCCTGCCTGAGATATTTAACTTGAGATTTTTTTACTGCATTAGTCGGTCCATTTGGCGACCTGGCTAGTAATGCCCAACTAGCTGCTGTCCAACACTACATGTAAGTCACCACTGCCTGGGACCCTACCAGCAAGCATCATCATTTAGCAATCAAAACTGAAGCTGAATGTCATTGTACGTTTTGAGTGGTTTAAGCTTGATTCTACCAAAAGACATCATGGAGCAAGAGCACTGCGAAGGGTTATAGCAAAGGGAAATTGGGTATAAGAAGGCCTTCCTGTGTGCTTGACTTGCTTTTGAGTTAGGGACCTTCTCAGCCACTGTTACTACTATTTCTTTTAAGTAGATTCCTACATTTGTGATTGTGGAGAAGCAGTAGCACAAGTAATTGAGAGCACAGGCTCTGGGATCAAGCAGTTTAGGGTTCAGATTATGCTCCACCAGCTGTGCCAGCGATATGGCATCAAAGTACTAACCTCCCTCTTCCAGTTTTCTTTCCAAAATGGGGTAAGGACGGCTCCTCCCTCGTAAGGTTGTTGTGGGAATTAAATGAGATGAGTTGATTAATGCAGAGATTTGCACAGTGTCTGGAAACATTGTTTGCACTTGGTACCTGTGACTTATTACTTGAGCCTGTGGCCCTTGATGGAAAAAGCTTATAAGCCCCCACCAGACAGGACTGGAAACAGGATGATACATGTTTCCTTTTGGTTGGCCTGCCAACCCCCTTCACACACACACAAAGACACACTCTGTCCTTCAGTGGAAGGGCCCATTGCTAAATGATGATGCCTGCTGGTAGATTCCAGGCAGTGGTGACACACACACAAGAATACACACTTTTCTCCATGGTAACCTCAGCCTCTTCTGGTGGAACCTTATTTGTTCAGACTGAGAGCAAACAATTGCTTTGTTTCTGTTTTCTTTCTTACTATGCCTAGGCACACTGTCTGGACTAGGCCTCTCCCAGTCTCTCAGAATGAGGGGTCTCTGCGGCTGCTTAAGCTAACCTTTTGCTAGT